AGAGAGAGAGAGAGAGAGAGAGAGAGAGAGAGAGAGAGAGAGAGAGAGAGAGAGAGAGAGAGAAAGAGAGAGGGACAGACGGACAGACAGACAGGTTGGCTGGCCGGCAGGCGGTAGCCAGCTGACTGGCCGGATGGCCGCACCTACGGACCGATGGACTGATGGATCGACGGATAGGAAGGTGGTTGGGCGGACAGGCTGGTAGACTGAACCGACGGATCAGCGGACAGACCCACAGATCAACGAAACGGCGGAATTATAGACAGACTGACTGGCTGAAGGTGGGCTGACAGATGCACTATATCTCATGGAAGGACGGTAGAGGAAGGGCCAGCTGGCTGGTGGTGCGGAGGGCAGGACAAAGGGACAGCTGGCCTTCAAGATGATGACGGAACCACCAACCATACAGAGGCGCGGACAGACAGACAGACAGACAGACAGACAGACAGAGAGATAGACAAATACAGTCCGACAGCCAGAGAGAGTAATTGCTGCACTCTCCACACCTTCGGTGCATTACGCCTTTCTGATAGAGACTGTGCTCACCCAATTTACTTACTCCCCTGCAAGTGCTCAACGCATGAAAATGATCTGAACGCTGCTGAGTTAGGGGTGGGCAGCGTCAACTTCTTAACTAGAGTAAAGTGGATGGAACAGTAAACTGAGTAAAGTACAAAAAAAATCCAGAACTTTGCGAAGCAGTCCGCCCTCCGCTTCCTATTTAGAAGACTCCTGTCAATCAATGCCTCCCTCTCCCTCTCCCTCTCCCTCTCCCTCTCCCAAAAGCATCACTGGCAATGGCTGTTGCTGGGTTGCTCTGTGAATAGTTCCTTCTTCACCATCCCTTGCCAACCCCCAGTGTCACGACGACATCTTCAGTACTCACTGCTTTCCTTCAGTGACTTTCTGAGTCTTTCAGCCGCATCCTCCAGATAGCAGGTACGGTGTACCGATTTCTAACAAGACCAGGTACCGTGTACCGATTTCTAACAAGGCCAGGTACGGTGTACCGATTTCTAACAGTCCATCCGAGTCGGGGGGAAATCCGGGCCTAGTGTAGAAATTTGTAGTCACGACTTCGGCAAAAAGGAGTCCCTCCCAGATAGCAGTGGCGGGTTTAGGGGAAAGGCCGCGAGCTCGATTCCTCCCCTTGAGTCAAAAAATTGTGTTCCTTCAGCAGCATCCTCCAGAGTACTTTTGGCTATTGGTTAGGCATCCTCCTTTGGAACCACCACTACTAACAAGGCCAGGTATTGTGTACCAATTTCTGCAGTCCATCCGGGGGAAATCCGGGCCTATTGTAGTCGCGACTTCGGCAAAAAGGAGTCCCTCCACGATAGCAGTCGTGGGTTAAAGGGGAAGGTCACAAGCTCGATTCCTTGAGTCAAATTTGCGTGCCACTAAGTCCACGTTCATCCTCAGCGAAATTCGCACAATCCTTCGGCAAAACGTCATCCAGCGTCCTCTTTCAGATCTTAAAGGAGAGGAAGAAGGTCTACCCTGATCAGCCCATGTGTACCGGCTGAATGGTACAATCATCAACTGTTGATAATAAACAGACCTAAGTTCGAATCCAGATCACTGTGCTAAGCTCATTTGGTACACGGCGCGAATTGTTGAAATACAGACCCGACTTCGAGTCCAGCCGCAATAAGACGAAGTCTGAGGAACAGAATAAAATAATTCTGAGTTACGTGGGGCCGGTCAGCTCAATGATGATATCTCAAGGCCGTCACCCTTTTTTACCAAAAAGGACAGATCACGGAGGCAGACGAGAAAGAACGTCTACCCTGAGCTCGTGTGATTCCCGTCCGTCTCAAACCCGAATTTGATGATGGTGTGGAGGACACTGCATATCATCATCATTTTGTTGAGCCTTCAACCACCGCCAGGCAATCTAGGGATGGGCTATCCATCGCCTTCAACATGTTCCACGCACGCAGATTGTCATGATGCCTTACGCATAGACATGCTATGTCACAATTTTCCTCTGGAAAGTCCTCCTCTTGAGCCACTACAAGAAGTCTACGACGAGGGTGAAACGATACTCCCTGGCAAGGATCCTCCTCTTGAGCCACTACAACAAGTCTACGAGGGTGAAACGATACTCCCCGGCAAGGACCAACCTCAAAGGGATTTACTAAATAAGGAAAGCCGGGATGAACCATTCCTATTCTGGAACCAATCTCCATGACTAACTCCACCTAATAATCGCCCTATCGTGCAAGCGAACACTCTGCGCGCTTCTTTGCCCCCCCCCCCCCCCCCCCGCTGAGGCAACTTTCATGCCCCCCCTCGAAACATCGCCACCAACGAGCCGTGCTCACCCTTTAGGAGGTCACCACCTTTGCAGTCCTTCAAGCCATGTTCACCCTTTAGGAGGTCACCACAACCTTTGCAGTCCTTCAAGCGGTGAAAAAGGACACAGCAAGGCAGGAGACCTTCCCAACGGTAGGGTTACCCAGTTATGATACGGATCCGGTTGTAACCTTATCCCGACTTGGAAAGGCAATACTCGCACTACAGTCTTCACCAGAGTAGAACTCCTGGTCGCTATCTCTGTATCTGAGAGTTGCGCACCAAACACAGCTATAATGATCGGGCGTTCTACTTGGGTGGGTGAAGACGGAGGACTTTTTTTCTACTCAGCTCTGGACGTAATTGGGGTCAGATTCATCCAGCTCCGACTGCAATTGCGGTCGGATACATTTACAAAAGTGCTAGCGCAAGTATGCCCTGAGAGCTAGTGTGAGTATGCGCTAAAGAGTCTTTTATTCCAACCCAGTTTGATGACGCTGCCACTCGGAAGGTCCAATGCCTTGCTGTGTTCTTGGGACAACAGGGTTTGCAGACCCCCTTTCCATTCTGTTTTTTGGAGTTACAGCATTTCACTCATCCGGTCTGCTTCTTGTGGACTTTGAACTCAGCACCTGGTCTGTATTTCAACAGTTCAGTTTAGGGGTGCAGCACTGTCCCAACTGAGCTAGGCCAGTTGGTTTGCAGACCCTTCCCAATTCAAACCAAGATGAACAAAAAATCCGCAGACGGGGTGTCCTGCCAACAGGGCCCCGAGCGTACCCACATGACGAGCAGAGGCAATGCTCATGGCCAGCAAAGAGAATCGAAATAGGCAGCAAAGACTCTCCAGTGTCTCCACATACCTGCTATGTCACCAACATGCGCTCCTTGCTGATATCCACACAGTTCACAGACACAGATAATTCATACAGCCGGCCTGAAACCCTAAACCCAGGAAGAGACTCTCCACCACACCACACTACCTCAAGGCTCAAACCTTAACCGAGGTGTGGTCCTTGGTAATTATCCACTACCTCAAGTCTTAACCAACGTGGGCTGCACGGTTACTACACTCGTACTTCAGAGACCGACACATCCACTACCTCAAGTCTTAACCAACGTGGGCTGCACGGTTACTACACTCGTACTTCAGAGACCGACACATCCACATGGTCTGCCCTGAAAACACCGAGTCGACATGGCCTGCGTGGATTCATTGAACCTGCGACCATTAGACACACCAAAGACTCGCCAAACAAACTTACATCTGACCGAGGAGTGCTCCTTGGTCATATCCACATATGGTTCACAGAGAGAAATCCACATGGCCTGAATGCACGCAAAAAGTCTACAAGGCCTGCATGCGCACAATGAATCCACCTGGCCTGCCTGCAAACACACACACAGCAAACACTCTCCAAGCTGTGCCTTTAAAACTTACCGAGGTGTGCTCACCGAGGTAACATCCATGCGTATTTTTGGAATTTTTCACACACAAAACCTGCGAAAAGAAACCCCCCATGGCTTGCCTGCACACACAAAATCCATATGCCCTGCTTGCAAAGACCGAATCAAGACAAACTGGCTGAAGACTGACATACTGTCTCACACAGAATGGGAAGCAATATAATGCCAATATTGCCTCTTGCCCAGGCTTTACGGAATCAACCAAGCGATTGAGCTGCTATGAATGGATGCGCACGCAGCACGCACACACACCCACACACACACACACACACACACACACACACACACACACACACACACACGAGACAGAGCGCCTTGATAAGGCGAATAAGCTGTGCCTGTTAGGGTGGTATGTTCTCTGTCTGCAAAGTCGATCTTGCGATATCCCTGGACCGTAGTTGCTTTCCACCAATCAGTAACTGGGACGGAGAATCGAGTCGCATGCCATCATATGCGTACACCTGTCCATACAGCGCACACAATCCGACAGAGGCGTGCATCAGACAGTACCCCCCATCCTTGTGTCAGATAAGCCATCAGAATAACGAGCGGCTTTGAAATTCCGCTCAAGGCAACCCAGCATGTCCAATCCTTCTTATTCGGTTTTGCTCTCTTTGTTTTACCCCCCCTTCAAATCTCCAACCTCTCGCCACTACCCCNCCCCCCCCCCCCCCCCCCCCCCCCCCCCCCCCCCCCCGCCCCCATTAATTTGCTCATTTCGGCGCCGATTGGGGCCCCGTCCAGGCCTTGCTGGCGGGTCCCGGCCCGGACCAACCCGCTCGAGGTCGCCCAGCTGGTAGCCTAGCCTAGCCATTGCGAAATTGTGACATTTCCCCCCTCTGATTGATGTAGATTACTCGTAATGATCCAAGGCACGCTTCCAACCATGCGTACAGAGTACCACCGACTCAGTACAGAGCATAAAAAGTAGAAATACAGCCTATGGCCAGAAGTTAGTCAAAATGACCAAGGCCAGACTCCAAGCGCGAGTAAAGAGCATTGAAACAATGAAAAAGAGGAAACAAAACATAGGATTAGAGAATTTAGAAGTTTACTTGAAATGACAAAGGCACGGGCAACTGAGACTTCAAGCATGCTGTCCTTCGGGACATCAATTGAAAACGGAACGATACAGAGATTATTAGCATTGCCCCTCCCTGCGCAACGATGAATTCGTGCCTACATCGAGAGCTGATCCAAAAAAAGACTCCAAAATTATTATCCAAAAAAAAAAACTTAACGCATGCATTGAATTCAATGAATTGTAAATTTCAAATTTGTAAATACAATAGTAGCGACTGTCGCATTTTTACTTCGGAAAGATGAAAAAATAATTATTAATTCTCAAATTGAGAAAGACAAAGACTTCCAAGCACCCGTACAGTACAGAATAAAAGTTTAAAGTTTAAACTTTCAACTTTAAAGAACAAAAATACACCCTTAGAAAATACGGACAAGGCTTCAAGCTTACCTTGTCCTCCCATCTCACGAAGACCTTCTGGAAAAATGGGTCTAGCAGCGTAACGCAGCTGCCACCATCCTTGATCTGCGTACGGTTCAAGCCAACCAACTCAGAAGTGTCCATTCCAATCAAAATTGTTAAATTATTTTTTTCCATTTCCATCAGAATGTCCATTTCAATCAGAAATTTAAAAATTTCCATTTGCATCAGAAAATTCAAAATTCCATTCAAATCAATAAGAATTTCCATTTCCACGTTCCTTGGGCTAACGGTCGCTAACCCTACAACAAACACAGGGCGGTTGCTTTTCTCCGCCATCACCTACCTCCAGCACCTCCTTTCCCGTTCTCTCTCTTTTAATCTTCTAGAGCCCAGGGGAACTCTATGGCTGACGTAACTCATGTGTTTCAGCTCCTTCTGCATTTCGTCTTCGATCCCACAACTTTTTTTTTTTTTTTTTTCAATTAATGAGACGTGTTTGGCAAATGCTTTCGCATCCATAAATTGTATTAAATCCCAAAAATTTCAAGGGGGTAGCCCCTAATATCATTCTACTCGTCTACTAGATGACCTGTTGTGGCTTCGCTCGCAAGAAAACAGTAGGGCATCTCAACAAAGAACGCTTTTTTTTTTCTTTTTTTTTTTTTAACCTTTTTTTTTGCAGTAGTTGGTAATACCTGTGGTTTGTGATTCTGTAAGGGAAGTCGTTAACTTACCAGCATTCCTTCCCTTAGTGCGAGCATGGCACACTATCGTATGATACGCAACAAACTGAATTGGTGCTAGAATGATTGACGGCGGTAGGTGAACTACAACACTCTACTGTTCTTTTTCTACACGTTTGATTTTGTGGAGACCGGCGTCCACAGCAGTGGTACCAACTCCATCCACACAATGGCATCCTTTGTGATCGATACGGGACCATGAACTCTTCAAATGCATGTCGGCATTCCTATTCCCCACATGACCAGGCCCAAACACCAGGGGGAAACCAAGAGCCAAAGGGGGGTACGACCATTCCTCCTCCTCCTCCTCCTCCCGCTTCCACTCCTCGTCCGCCAGCTTGCTTCCCATGAGCTTTTGCAAACACTTGCCCTGGCCTCTCGCAACTCCGATCGGCTCTAAGACGAAGGGACAGACTCGGGGCCTGTTGGGTGCTGGTTTTTTGCCCGTTTCCATGCATTTAAGAAAATTTGGACTCTGTACAGTCGAAAGCATGAATGATAACATGATAAGAATCATAAGATATGAAAAAATGCATTAAATATAAAATAACGAGGGTTTGGGTGTCAAAGAACAAGAGACGATTGAGCCATTATGAGAATGGTGATGAGGAAGTTATGGTGATGAGGTAGTTATGGTGACGAGGTAGTTATGGTGACGAGGAAGTTATGATGGTGAGATGGTTCCAGGCTCTTACCACTCCATCACGGACAGAGTACACAGAGAGGATGAAGCAGGTGCCATCTGCATCTACAAGCACAAAACACCTGGAACCAACAAAAATCCAGGACAGAAAATTAAGGAAACTTCAAACTTAGCTATGGCAAACATTGGCAATTCAGCATCTTGCCATCTACAAAAAAAAAAAAAAAAAAAAAAAAATCCTGGTTTTTGTTTTACAATTTCATAAATTTATTGAATTTAACAGATAAGAAGAATCTAAAGATCATTTTAAAATTAATAAAAAATTCATAAAATTAACTTCGAAAAAGGTTATAAAATTATAAATAATATAAAATCATATTGAAATGCTGCATTGCAATACAATGTTACAAACAATGTTTGGTTGAAGGTAACAATTCATATCAAAAACTGTTATAAATAATATAAAATCATATGAAAAATTAAAATGCATCATTTTGCAATAAGAATTATAATTTATAACTTATAAGAGATTAAAGAGAACATAAAAACTTAGGGAACCTGATGTTTCGAAGCTTACATCATCATCATCGCAATCACAACTCGCCACGAGATAGCAATGATATCACGCAGCAAGACAAGAGAAGCACAAGAGTGAAAATAACTCTTTTGAGCATGGCTGTGCCGGCAACCGGCCAGTTGGACTGGCCCGGATCCAACCAGGCCGGTTGGACCCCCGGTGGTCCTGGGCCCAAAATTGGGTCTTTCTTTTCTTCTTCGTTTTTTTTTTTTTTTTTTTTTTTTCCTTTTTTTAAACATGGTTGGCCTGCGCTCCCTGAGATCTTCCCGAATCCGCAAAGAAAACTTTGAACAGAGAAGTTTCGTTTGGGGGGGTATTTTTCAGGGGTTGGGGTCAGGGGTCAGGGGGGTCATGGTAAGGGTGTTAGTGGTGGGGATTCAGCAAGCACGGGCTTCAGCAGACATTGACAACAACATACCTGGCTTTCTGCAAACGTTAACCTTCTACCCAAAAACTTTGAACAGGGGGCTAGGGGTGTTAGTGGCAGGGTAGGCACGGTACTTCCCACCCAAAAACTTTGAAAAGGGAGGTGGGGGTGATAGTGTTAGGGGGTGCTTGTCACTGCTGTCTGGTCCAAGTTGCCCTCGATACTGGTAAGATAACCACCGGCTGCCGCTGCCAGCGATCACTGCAGGTTTATTCCTTGGCGTCTACAAGACCCTGGGCTTTAAAAAGAAAAGAAAAAAAAAAAGATGCGCTACGGCCAACCGGGGGGGAACCGGCCCGGTCGACCGGCCCAGTTCCGGTTGGGGGAGGGTTCCCTGGTCCTACCGGGTTTGGAACACTGCTTTCGAGTCCTTTCCTTTTATTTGTTTTTAAGTTCTAACATGGAAAGATTTTTGCGTGCAAATAACTCTGAGCTTTCGACACGTGACTAGCTCAACAATCTAGTTGATACGATGTTCAAGTCACTCCTGCCACTTCTACCTCCCGGCTCTCCTTCACTTCCTGAAGTGCCACCTGACAATGTTATCGACTGGTCATCCTATCACACCTGACTCGACAGACTCTCTGCCACACTCCAAGAAGATTTCACACTAGTGCGGCCCTCCCAGACCAGTGCAATCAACATCAACCGTGCATCTGGCGATGCCAGACTTCTGAAGCACTGCGCTGTGTCTAACCTCGGCCGCGCCAACAGGCAAATCTCAGCTAAGCTTCTCTCTCATCATAGCGTCGTAGGCATCTCCCTCGTACCTCTCTCTCTCTCTCTCTCTCTCTCTCTCTCTCTCTGTGTGTGTGTGTGTGTGTGTGTGTGTGTGTGTGTGTGTGTGGCACTGGCACTGGCACTCTGGCAACATCGCTAGTGCTTTTGCTTCAAGCAGCGCTCCAGCACAATACGCCAGGCAGAAAGATGGAGTCCGCGGAGGAGTTCAACTTATATAGAGTATGACCGGCGCTGCCTGCCCCCTCTCGAATTCGTGGCACTATTGAAATCTACCCAAACCCGAGCAGAAGGCCCACATCATCGCTCTGTGAGGCTGCGTCGGGCCGTGGTTTGAGGTTGCCTGGACCCAGTAGGCCTGGAATGCATCTGCAAACAGTTTCTGACCCTTTTGTACTAGTCTGTGATCTGCGGCAGTGATTGACGTCTGGGTAAATCTTTGACTTTTTGTTTGCTGGACCCAGGAGAGCCTGACGGTTGACTTTCCTGGGGCCTGTGTTGACCATATCCAGCCCTCAGGGACTCAATGTGGATGGCTGTGCCCCAAAGCTACTGACCTCATCACTTCCCAATGTGCTTTTGTTAAGTGTTTTTTTTTTTTTTTTTTTTTTTTTTTTTTAATTAACAGCCCCCAGGCCTGCTAGCGCTGCTGGTGGGAAAAGAAACCTCTAGAAAACCCTGCGGCTAACTCCAGTCTATTGGTGGGGAGCATCACCTCTTGGAAAGTGGGTCTAGCATCGCTTAAAGGAAACACCAAATACAGATACATGAGAATATGGAGGGCCGTCCGCCCCTTCAGCCTCGCCCTGGCCGCCTGCGCTGACATGAAACTACTAGCAGACCCCTTTATATCCAACCCTCCAAAATGACCTCTGCCCAACACTTCGATTTGGCCAAAATCTATGACTCAAAGACCATTGTATTTCTGGTCTTGACCGCGGAACTTTCAAAAAAAAAATTAAAAAAAAATGATTTATTTTTAGCATGGTAACCCCGGACCCGGACACTTCCGAACTGTCTTCGGACCAGTGTCTGGACCGGTCCGGACTGTCCGGTGATCCGGACATAACCGGACAGTCCGGACCGATACCAGGGGTGCACGGATGTCCGGACCGGAAAAAAAAAAAAAAAAAAAAAAAAAAA